ATTTATAAATAAATCTTTGATTAGGAAAGACAGGTTGGCCAAAATAAGGTCTCAAAGGAAATTTTTTTTAATTCCGATACGAATAATTCCTGGTAATTACCAATAACAACATTCATCTTCGAAACGGACATATCCATTCCATTTCAAATCTGAGGAATTTAACAGATGAATAATAAAATTTTAAAATGGCTCGGTAATGCACAAATATTCAGTAACCAATCAGGGAGCTGATTACATCACACATAGAATTAAAATTATTTAAATAATCATTTATAATAAAATCATTTTTAAAACAAATGCAAAGTTAAATTGTATTTTAATATTTAACAGCCATAAATAATGTTTAAAAACATCAGATTAAATTTATAGATATTAATAAAGCCAATTACTTTTTAAGTAAGGTTACGTCATTGATTACATCATCCACAACATAAAATTATATAAAACATTATAAACAACAAAATTTTTATTTCAAATAAAAGTGCAAAATTAAATTCATTTTTAATATTTAGAAGCCATTAATAATATTTAAAACATGGAATTTATGCATAATAAAGCACATTATTTAAAAAATAAAATGACAACAAAGTATTGTTTACCATAAATAACTTATCCAGCAATGGGTTTACTATAAGTCGTATTACTCGCCAAAAGAAAAATTGCCAAACCCGTGCAACCGTCTACCAAAGTAGCACCGCCATGTCTTGCAGTGCCCCAAAATCTGCTTTCTTGACCTTGGCACCAAAGTGTGTCAGCATTTGCCGCAGAACCCGTAATGATTAGTCTTCGAGCGAGCTTGGTTCTTATTTTGTTGATCCATTCAAAAAATGGAAGACTGAGTAAACCTTTATTTACACACCAGTCAATTTATGCATTTTTTCCTTTTTGTTCCAAATCGTACAGAAACTTCAAAATAATGTTACTATATTCAACCATTTTACCGTGTAAACCATAAAATAAGCAATGTATTTCCTACAACAGACAAACACCTCTTACAAATCTTTTCTTATCAGTCAAATTCACTGCTATCATGCAACCAATTATGCCATAATAGGTTTTCTATAACATAGGTTACCATAAATGAAACAGCTTGGTAATAAATGAAACAACCTGGAGATAATCCAAGGGGTGCCCTTAAATATACTTTAACGAAATTATATTTATGCAAGTAAGAAACTTTGATTCTTTTATTAAATGATTTGTTTGTTTGGCAAATGATTTTTTGAAAACACAGAAGTGTCTTTTTTGCTTAAATTTGCAACTTGTAATTCCCTGAGACTGGTATTTTATATTGTTTCATAAGTTATTTTACTAAATTCCAGCTTCATCTCAAAAAGTTTTAAACTATGTTAAAGGCATTAGATTATCATGTCAAAAAAGGAAAAATATGAAATTCACTTAATCATCATGCAGTCACTGTTACATCAAGAATAGTCATATATATGTATATAAAATATAATAAATTGCTTGTAATGTTCCAAATTAAGTATGTATAAAAGAAAAATATTAAATTATATTTTTGATTTGTAAATATGCAATTATTTTGAAATTCTGTAGAATTGCCTTATTTTTAGCATTGTTGAGTACATGTGTAACAATATCCAAACCTTCATGTGCATGAGTAAAAGTTTATAACTGGGTGTTCCTTGATAAAACCAAGGAAACAGAAATTTAAGTGTTTTATTATGGGTGTTTGTTGGATTTTTAATTTAGCAAATATATTACTGTTTTATGAAGTTTTGGGTGTTTCATTATGGATGTTTGTTTTATATAATTTTCAGCACAAGACCATTTTTTTCTTAAATGATGCCTGTTTTCCATCTGTTAAGTTGGCGATTTTACGGGAGGGTTGGGTGGGTAATGGGATAGCAAAATTCAACCGTAATGTGCAACATATTCGACTTGGATGCTCATTTTAGATTATGTCATACAGACCTTCATTGCTTTTTCTCCCCTCTCCAAAATGCTGAAAATTTTTAACAATTAGTAAAATAAGTGGTAGTTTCTTTACAATAGTATCAAGTAGAAAATAAGCGGTAGTTTCTTTACAATAGTAGCTTCATTAATTCTTTTTAATTTTTTTTCTCCTTTTTAACTTAATCCCTTGATATGTAATGCTCATGCCCTGTTTTAGAGTGAGAATCAATTATTACATATCTTTTGCCTCTACATAACACCAATAGATAGCAGCACCATACATTTTTTACATCTTGGTACTTAGATGTGGTTTAAAATTCGTTTCCAATGAGACACAGTAACTTCCTACTGTTAATATAAACAACTCTTAAGTTTCAGAAGTTGTTCATCATACATCATTATTTATATCACAAGCAATAAAAATATAGCAATAATTAAACTAGATATGTGAACAACTTTTGTATATGTATGGTATTTCCGTTGTGATTTTAGGACACTGAGCAACTAGGGCAAACCTCGGCAACCTATGACCTGCATACCATAGGTTGTTGAGTTTTTTTATTATTTATTATTTTACATTTGCATTTTGTTATTTATTATTTTACATTTAAAAAAATATTTTAAACACAAGAAATTACCCATGTACACAAATTATGTATTATGTATTACAAAGTATCACATAGAGTTTACAGAAGTAAGTTTGAAACACAGTATGGGGGGGGGAACTTATGAAGGATTGCAATAATTACAAAAGTAGTCAAAGACACTTCTCTTGGAAATAAACTGATGAAAATCATGAGGCCAATTAGTATTATTATTTTTAAGTACAAGTTTTAAGATCTTTCTTTCATTATCAAATTTGGATCATAGAAGTGGCACATGTTCAACATTTGCCTCACCACCCACGGTGCAATCACAAAAAGTCTGGAACTAACATAAATCTCCTCAGATAACTTTTAAAATTTCCATGCCAGTAAGTAATTGGGTCATTTTATAAGTTGTAAAAAAATTATGACATGACAGTCTCATTTTGATGGAAGAGAAAAATCTTTTAATTAAATTCGCTTTGTTGGAACTAATGTATTCATGATTCTACGACTTCACTATGATTTCAAACTGCCACAAATAGTTTGATGTGTCATAAAGGAATTAAAATCGGCGGAGCCAAAAAAAATCATAGAAACAGACAAAAGTCTTTTTACAAGAAGGAAAAACAGCATTGGGCGTATTCTTCCAGAATAATGGGCATTTGACGGTTTATTCTGGGAAAACAAAGAATGTTTTCTGGTCGGCGTTCCTGATTGTTGTGCTATGGCATTAATGACTGCTATTCAAGAAAACATCGCATATAGCAGCATTATATTTTAATTGCAGGAAAGGATATCAGCAAGAACTAAGAAATGCTGGGTATGAATCACAGCCATAATTTTGTAGACCCCAAAACTGGATGCCATACTCAAATTGTAGAGCGATTGTGGGGCAGTGCTAAATGGAGAAATAAACATCAGCGGAACACTGCTCGTCACCATTTAGAATCATATTTAATAGAATTTATGCGCCGTCGACTATATATTTAATTTTATTTTGATATTTTTTATTTATGTGTAGAATATTCGAAGTTACAAAATTAAAAAGAAAAATTTACTTTCTTTAAGAATTATGAAAGTAAAAAAAAATTACTTTTTACAGAATTAATTTTTTTTTATTCTTTTGAACTCTATTATTATTTTATAATTTAATACTTGGCGAGAACTGGCGGCAAAAAAAAAAGTGGCGCATTTTTAACTGACGCCACTCTAACGGAACAGTACCGATTATTTGAAAGCATAGGAAGGCTATCTGTGTCAGGGTTGGAAGGCTTTCTAAAGAAAACTGGCTCATATGTATGAAATCTTAGCTGAATCATTATGGTACTTTGTGTTAGCACTGATATTAAGGTTTTAAAGAGTCTTTGACAAGCACTTGAAATTTAACTTTTGTTGTATTTGAAAATAAGTGTTGGAGTAGAATATAAACTTTTTAAATTTAATGAAAAATTTATATGTTAAAATTTATTACATTATGTATAATGATGTATATTAAATCTTTTTTATGCTTCTAATTAGCATATACAAGTCAATGTTCACTATAACAATATGTTCACTATAACAATATGTTCCATTGCATTGGCTGGTGGAGAATGCCTGTAGCTGATGATAAGGTTTATCTTCAACACTTACCTAGTACAATTCATTCTGCATGTGCATAGTTGCAGGCATTGATTATTGTTGATTACTGGAGTTTTTTGTTCCATGCTTATTTTTTTCGTGTTCTTTTAAAGATTGATTTAAAATTTTAGAATTAAAAGGTGAATAAAGAGCACATTACAAATACTAAGTGCAAGAAAGTTTGTTTTAACATTAAAGCAAAAACTTGCATTGATTAAAAAATGGATAAAAAGCTCTCTGAAAGAATGTTCAATTGATGCGCAAAATTTTTATGTTATTGTTAAACAAAAAAGAAGTTACAGGCCTTCAGAAAAGATTATGACAGTGCAGTAAGTCCTTCTAACTGAAAGAACATGAAACTCTACACCAAAAATTTAGATTCAGCTCAGCTGAATCGCTTTATCAAGAAAGAAGCTGAGGAATTACCAATCAGTGGTGAAATATGCATGGAGAAGTTCAAGTTTTCAATGAAAAACTAATGAAAATATAAATGAAGGAAATATTGGCAATGACTTCTGTTGAAATTCTACTGTACTTTGTTGACCAAAGGGGAATACAATGATAAAATAGCTCTTTGAAAAATACACATTGAAATTCAAAAAAATATTCTAAAAAATGAAGTAAAATTATTTAACAAAGAAATAAACACATACTATATGCATGAAAACTGGCAATTGGGATCATCTGTGTTTTTCAGTTATTTGTGATCTGCTTCCCTGGCATTAGTCCAGATAATCGAGAGTATTAAAATTATTTTTAGTGTAGTGATCACTAATTATGACATGTTTTAAGATGCAATGAGTTGAGTTATTATAATGAATATCAATTTTATAGCTTCTTGTGTTTTGATGTTTTAATTTTTTTTTTGTCTTGTAGATTTCACATCACATTAATGTGCGTTTTATACATACATCATAATGTCGTCACCCGTGGCACAGAAAAAGCTATCAAAAGATGATTTGAGAAGGTTAATGAAGGAAAGACGAGAAAATCTGAAAATCCAGAAAGTTGATTCCCCTTTTGCAAAGTATCCTTTTCTGAAGCTTGTTTATATATATATATTTAAGGTGAAGTTATGACATCGCATGTTTGTGTCACAGTCTCTAATATTTGTGTATACATCTGAGTGTAGTCTCTGATTTGTCTTTGATATGTCTTTGATGTCTTTGATTATCTAACAAAACTACAAGAGTTATAGATGAAAAAAATTGTTTCTTGGCATATTACTTCGAAATTTTATTATAAAGTCCATTGCTATTAATAATTCAATAATTTTCTGGAAAGAAAAATATATGAAACATAAACTATGAAAATTTTGGTGACTTATTTCAAAAATATCTCAAAACTATCAATATTTATGTTATCAACTTATCTCAATATTTATGTTATCAACTTATCAATATTTATGTTATCAACTTATTACTCAGCAAATGTTATCAACTTATCAAAAGATAAAAATTTAAAATGTAAAAGTAATGATTAAAAATACAATAAAAATTAATTCATAAATATAAATTTAAAAATGATGGATTGTACATAATATAAAAATACACAACTGTTTTTTCACCATACACGTAGTGAGTGATCTGTTTTTGTTTTAAAAACATCACTGAGTCGTACAGATTTAGCCCTGCTCACAGCCTTGTCGTTGCATACTCTAAATAATATATATATATATATTATTTTACATAACTGTGTTTCTGCCATGTACACAGTGATCGCTTTTCATTAAAAAAAATTAGAGAATTGTAGAAACTTTCATTGGGCACCTACTGTAATCAGTTATAAATTATGAAATAAGGATTATATAATACATAAAAAAGTAAGAAAAAAAAAACCTCTTATCTTTATTGAGGAATTTATCTGCCTAAAGGAAGATAAATCTTCTTCCACTCCTACGCCACTCACTATTAAAACCATCATTCAGTTCTTCCCTTTATATGAAATCCATATTATCATTGTATACAGACTATTTAACCTCCTTTGGAATTAAACCTATTTCCATGCTCTGTAACACAGACGTTTTCCTTTTTCATTTCAAATCATGGAAAAAAACCTAAATCATGTTTATCCATCATGATGCACACAAATGACAGAGAGCTCAAATAGAAATTATATTTTCACCATTTAAAACTATGCAATTTTAAAATTAATGAATAGCATTTAAACACAGATAACATATGACTAAGAGAGATTAGTATAAGTAATCATTGATTATGATATTGATCAGAGTCATTAACCTTTTCGTGACGGTGCACCTTTGTTTAAGACGCTCGTGCGGGACGGAAGGGAATCGAAGGCAGTCACCGTAGAGGACGGAGGTTTTGCATCACTAAGCCTAATTTTATAAAAAAAGATCAGAAAAAAAAAAAAAAAAAAAAAAAGATTAAAGTTTCGCTTCTAGCATCGTAATTTTTTGTATTCTTTTAGATTATTACTTGAACTTTTGTATATGTTAAAATTAGCACTTAATAATTTTTTTTTCTTTATTTTACATGAAAATATACTTAAAAAATTGCTTGTGTTGTAAAATAATTTTCGGAAGCGGTATTCAAATTATTTCAAAGTTTTAATTGATAAAATCCATTAATAAAACAACACTATAAAGACTATTTACAGTAAGAAGTAACAAATTTAAAATGAAGACTATGGTAAATCTCAAAGTACGGAGAAGTATCACTTTCTAATTCTTAGAAAAAGTATCACTTTCTAACTCTTTAGAAAATGAATCATCACTCTCATCTGCATTAATAAATGGTTCATTGACCATACGAGGGTATTCTTCCTCTGATAAATAGCGCCTTTCCCCTATAATAGACTGGAGGTGAGGCTTTCCGAAATAAAAAGAGCAGAAATGGAAATATATCTGAAGGGCAATGCAAAACGTAACAATACTCCACATACTAACCTTAAAAGACCTTATATAGTAAAGGAAAAAATAGAATAAAAAAAAGAATTGGATATAAATCAGACACGCGAATGTTTTCATTAGCACGCAGCGATTTAAAGAGCTCACCTCTGTTTACGTTTTCCCTCTCCCCCACCCTCGCAAGAGTTGATGAGTAAAATACCAAAGTCAAGCAGAATATATCAAACTCAAGGTGAGGAACTTAAAACTGTGTTCATTTCAAAAGTAATGGACATAGGATGTCATCTAGTGGCCTTCAGGAAAATGTTCCAGCTTAAAATGCGCATACGCATCACCCGTCCTCTGAATACAATCTCTAGCGATGTGTGGATGGGACGCCCGGCTGTAAGAGACGTTCTTAGGGAATGCGTATATGGGACGGCTGTCCTGAAAGTCCACTAATATGTTAGTGGTATACTTATGCTCCTTTCTGTTAATTATTCAATATTACTTGTGTATTTGGTCACTTTCAGCTTCATTTTAATTTCTGAATGCACAGCCATTAGGCAGTTTCTTTGCAGATTAAAAGTAAATTGTTTTGTGAAAATTCGTTTGATGTGTACAAATTGAACCTAAAACTGAAAGCACGTGTACATATTTTCAAACATTTACGGCTGTTTGTTGAGGTGTGCATAAAGCTTTATTATTGTAACAAATGTGCTAACTTCAATTTTAGACTGCATTCTTGCAAATCCAATTTACTATATGTCTTCCCATGACTTTTTTTTAAATTCTTAGTTTTTGTTAATTCAGCTTAATCTTATTTTTTCATCGCAGAATGCAATTTTTTTGTCATCTGAAATATTTATACATTTTTTTGGATTACCCATTTAAAAAAAGAAAAATTTTCATTAATGGCTACAGCATGTGCTTAAGAGTGATGTCTGAAATTGTCGAAATTTTGGATTAAATTTAATTATCAATAACTCCTTGTACGAGCTGTAAATAAATCATACAATTATCATAATTAGGGCATGTCTTTCTTAAAACCATTTTCTGCTTTCACTATTATGGATTTTCTGAATTTTTCATTTTCATAGCATTTTTTTTCAGTGAAATGTAATTTAATTGCATAAAATTGTTACATAGTGATTGCTTTGTAATATACTGTATTCATGAAAAAGTGGATAGTTCACTATTTATTACTTAAGGAATCTAAAACACTATGGGGAAAAAGTTATTTAGGATTAAAGGAGGTTGAAAAACTATTAAATACAAAAGCAGCCAAAGCAAATAGAATGTGACATGGTTAATTGAAGACTAAGTTTAAACGTGGCTGTGATATTATGACAATCAATTATTGATCAGTTAGGTTTTATGACATCATCAGTATCATTTAATATGTGAATAAAACAAGTATATTTTTTAATATATGTGAATGGTTTATTTCTCTTTATTTTTAATTAAGGTAGAAACTGGATTAAGATAAAAGAGTGATATAAAAGCTTAAGAATTGTGTTTTCTAAGTTTAATTATCATAATGAACTTTTCCTTTAGTTTTCTTGATCTTTTTTAGATATAATAATTTAGGACAACTGTCTTGTACAATTTGCAACATCCAGATAAAAAGCAATTCTTTATGGGTGGCTCATGTAGCTGGAAGGATTCACAAAGAGGTAAAGCTATTATATATAATGTTGATGGTTAATAAAGCATGCATGTATACACACACACAGATAACTAATGAAACTGGTAATTTTGGACTTTCATATATACACTGATGAGCCAAAAAATTATGACCATCCCCACATTTCTCAATGAACCTGTTTTGATGACATGGAGGGCACATGATTAAGTGGGAATGGCATTTAACTGCTGCTAGAGAATGTAAGGAATTATTCTGCATTTAGTTTTGCGAGTGATGGGAAATCTAAGTGAATTTTATAGAGAGCATATTGTAATGGCTCAAAGACTCAGAACGAGCATCTTCGAAAGTGCACAACTGGTAGATTGTTCGTGATGTGCCATTATTAGTATTTATACAGAGTAGATAAATGATGGTGAAACCATCAGTAGATGTCAAGGTCTTGGATGTCCGTATGTCATGAAAGAAAAAGGATGTCAGAGGTTGTCCTGCTTGGTACAGCAAAATCAGCTCCTGACAGTGGCTGAGCTGAAAGCGCAATACAATGCGGGTCTAAGTGTAAGGCCCATATCACACGGCATTTGTTTCACACGAACAACTGTTTCGGACAATTTTTCTGCCTGGTTTACTATTGAAAGAAAGACCCGCGACTTTTTCCTTCCTTTCCAAAAAAATTGCAGGTTGTTCGTTTTCAACCAATCAGCTATCAGCTTTGAATGCTATCAGCTTGTTTGTAATGGGGAACCAGTTTTCCCTGCATTGACCCCAAAGTGATCTGTATTGATTGGCTGTTGTGACAAAGCAGAAAAATTGTTCCAAACAGTTGTTCTTCGGAAACAAACCGATGTGTTATAGCAGTCTGTGTTTCAGAATACGCAATTCAGCAGACACTGTTAGATATGGGACTGCACGGCATGCATCCCATTCATGTACCTCTGTTGACTAAGCGTCATTGTCAATTATGCCTACACTGAGCCCGGGAACATCAAGACTGCAAGACTGGAACATAGATAAGTGGAAGACAAATGCCTGGTTGGATGAATCATGATTTCTCATTCATCACATCAATGGTTGTGTCAGGGTATACCTCTTCCAGGCATATAGTTGCTCCCCCCTGGTACAATAGGTGATACACAGGCTGCTGGTAGAAAAGACTATGAAAGCTGTAAACTCTGAACATAACTGTAGATGAGTTGCACCTTTACATGGTGTCTCTCTTTCCAACTAGAAATGTATCTGTAATCTCAGCAGGACAATGCCCCATGTAACAAGTTTCAAATTGTGTTGGCATTGTTCAAGGAGCATAAAGATGAATTCCAATTAATGTCCTGGAAACCCAATCCACCAGATATTAACCCGCTAGGGCACATTTGAGATGTCTTCCGTTCCAAGGTGAGTTGTGACTGTTTTGTAGGTCATACAGCGCATTGTTGAGTAGGTTGTCATAATGTTTTGGCTCTTTCAGTGTATATATATATATATATGATTTAAAACATTCTAATAATAAAGCCTATCTGTGTTAATTGTTTATTTGAATTAACCTTTTTATTTGCTCATTATATACTTTGAATCTGATTTTAATAAATGATTTTATGAGAAGAAAGCATAATTAATTTTAATCACAGTATCATTGCAATGGAGGAAAAATAAATATAGTCGTCCCTCGGCACTTTATCCTTTGACTTTTGCAACTTCACCCTTTCATGTTTTTTTTTTCCAAATATATTGGTTAAAATGTTGATTGAGACAGTAAAAAGGATGCTGCTTACACTGAGTTGTCCGAGTCAGTTATACACTTCTGCATCACAGTGTTATTCTGTTACAGTATTCAGTTACTGAATGTATCGACTGTAGGCCTATATATTCGAGCACCCCACAAATCCTTTACCATCAGGCCACTACTCGTATGTGGACAAGAACTTTTTCCCCCAAAATTGGGTATGTTGAAATCAAGCCGCTCAGAGCTTCCTGTTCACTGATTGACTCTCCATTTCTTTTCATATCCTGGCTCCTTAATGGCTTAGCCTCTTTCAAGTTCATTTCTGTACATCACTTATCATCAGAAGTATCTTTGCTCTTGTAAGTGCAATTTCTGAGAACTTTTATCTAAGCTATCTTGCATAATTTGGCAATTTTTTACAGGAAAATAGATGTTAAGTTATAATTGTAAAATTTTAATATGCACCTACATACATATTTTTTATTTTAATAAATATTTATCAAAAAGTCAATCAGTAAACCTAATTTAGTGGAAGTTTCATGCAGCAGGGTTGTCATGCTACCTGGAAAACCAGAAAAAGTCAGGGAATTTGAAAATTGACTAAACAAAAGTCAGGGAAAAAATTAGGGAATTTAAATATTTTAGTCAAAATCTAGAAAAGTCTGGGAATTTTATATGGCAATCTCCCCCCCCCAAATGATTTTTACACTAATGCTGGAAGTGATCACTTTTCTTGACGAATTATGTATTGCATGAGCATCATTTAGGCAGCGCTGGCAGAGTCAGTTTTCACAGGTCCAATCAGATTGCCTTTTAAAAAGGCAAAGCAAGTTTTCTCAACAACTTTGGTATCCGGTAACCTTGAAAATCGTGCAATTAGAATGCATATGTGCAGTGCATGTTGTACAAAATAAAATACCTTTCCATTCTCATATAAAACAAAGTCGGTTCAATCCCAGTTACAGTACACACAGGATTTGATGATATTATAATGAGAAGTAAACGTGGTCATCCTGGTGTTGGCAACAATTTTCGAAATAATGCCAAGGATGTACCGTATACTAGGATTTTACCACAAAATCTTTTAAACAGTAAAATAACAGTAATCAACCATCTAGGCTAACCATTTAATATAATTATATTTGCCAAAATATAGTTGATTACTGCAATTCAGTTTTTAATAGTTAAGTAATTAACTGTAATGCTATTTGTATAATTTAATTTGGCTTCTTCCTTCTAAATTTATTTATTATTAGTTAATAATACTTTCAAATTCCAGGCAATTTTCTCTGGCATACTCCTAAAACTAATTCTAGCAGTATTATGACACACCATCACAAAATTTAATGCACATATGTTTTGCTTATGTATGCTGCTAAATAAATGTAAAATACCTGAATTTATTTTGAAATATCATTAAAGAGATTTCTTTCTTTTGTTTAGCTGCAAAAAGTCTCCGAAAAGTACATTTTAAAGTCCAAATTGGGCAAATTCTAATCTTGGAGAATCAGCGGAGAAAACAACTCTTATTACAGTTAAAATAGTGATGCTTTGGGAAAGTGATTTTGTCATATGTATTGGAAAATTTTTGTGTTTTCAAGTGGTACCTTTATTAATTTATCTCTCAGCACAGCCAACTCGTGTTATGTGCATAGATTGAAATTTTCTTAAAATACACCTGGAAAAGTCAGGGAATTTCATTCTCCTGTTTGAGTGGCAACCCTGATGTAGTCACTTTAATTCAGTTCTTTTTCAAGATTTTCCTTCAAAATACTGTATCCCTGCTGGAGTTTAACCATAGTTTTATCCATTATATGGAAATTCACCAAATATATCACATTTTAAAACTGAATTTAAAATAAAAAATTATCATAAAAGTATTTATAAAAACCATTGCAATTAAGAATAAAACAAAAAGAACACATGTGAAAATGATGACGTTGCTTGTTAAAACTGAGGAATTATTATATTATGCATAAAATTGGTATACTTTATTACTTTCTGAAAAATTGGCAATTTTACTTGATTGAACTAATGTGTAAATACTTATTTTAGTTTATAAAATATTGATGATTTTCTGGAGCAATTATTGTCTGCTGAGCTATAAATATTACAGAGACCAAATGCAATTATGTAGATAATGCTACAGGTACTAAATATTAATTAATATTCAATACGAAGAAAGCATATTTAGGAAAAGATATGGTACATTCTGATTATGTGCACCTTCTTTCCAAAAAGTCCCCATCTTGCTGCTGATTAATTTTTTTGCTAAGCAACAGCCATTTTCAAAATGGTTGGGGAAGAAGGATTAAGAACTCCAGAAAGAGCATTCAACTGCAAAGAATGTTGCCGCTTGCAGTCTTCTTTTATATAAAATTTAAACGGGGGGGGGGGGGGAAGCAAAATTCAATTTTTCATATTATAATATCCTTATTTTTCTCTGTAGCGCTCGGGTTTTTACTTTTTTTACTAAAAAGGTAATTACTTGTTGATTTCAGGCATGACAACACTTAAGTATCTCTAGAATAATTGATTTCTTTTTATTTGTTGCTATTGATGGAAGTAATAATAGTTATTAGCTAGTAGTAGTTATGACTAATAATAATTGTGGTCTACACAGTCAAGAAAATTTAAAAAAAAAAAAAAAAAAAAAAAAAAAAAAATCCATAATAAAACACTTACATTTTCAAGAAATCCTTGTGTAATTGTTTTGGTACTGTTTGCCACATGTACATAGCAATTTGTTTTTGCATAAAATAACACCAGAAATTGCCTCCAATCACATTGTATAAAATTCGATTATTTAAGAAGTACAGTTTTATTTAATGCCAATTTTTTGCAATCTCTACTATTGGACAAAACGCCATATTTTTGGACAAATGCAACACTTTCTTTATCATCAGCAAACTAACTCCACACTTCCATTAACCCCTCTAAAATACTTATTGCAAAAACAAATACTAACCAGGAAAATAACTTGCATTTGAAAAGTAAAACATGAAACATATGAAATGTTTGTCTGTTGTGCGCGTATCTAGGTTGCCACATAAATACATCTCGACAATATCACAGGTTGCTACATAACTATTCTGGTGACACCTCATTGCCTCATGAATCCTATTCCTGAAGGGTTGCAGATATTAAAAAGAACCAAAATTTACTAGGGTAAGTTTTTCTATTCACATCCACATTGAATAATATTTTTCTTAAACAATAGTATGTTGTCATTTATATATGATTGTCTATATCTTAAGGTAAGTGTAAATTAAAATTTTCTTGCAATTCAGTTTTAGAAGTGTTTCTTTGGC